GTTGCTGAAAATACTTACAAGTTATGCAGTGTGGTGGTTAAGCTCTATTGGAATTACCCCTGTTGTCCAGAATATATCACCTGGATTTACGCGCAAAATAAAGGTAGCAATTTTTAGGCTCTCTGTAGTCCTATTAGTCTTGTTTATGAAATGAACTATATTTAAAAAAACCCAACACACAACAAAAAACAAAAACTCCACCCACAACCAAAACAAAAGAGGTTTTTATTCTTGCCCCGAATGATTTCAGTGATCCTATTTACAGTGCAGTTGTATTGGCACAGTTGAATTGCAACTGGAGGCAGGGGAAAATCAGGAACTGTGTTATGAGCTTGTTCTGCCAGTGGATAACACGTTCCTGTAACTGCATCTTTTGTCTGCAGGAGGCACTTTTTATTGTCAGTGCAAGAGATTACAAAGCCTAAAAAAAAATAATTAAAAATCGACTATTTTGCATCCTACACAAATGGACACCCCCCCAGGTTGGATAGCTGTCTTCCCCAATTACTGCAAACACGAAACTGCTTTTGAAAACCGTAGCCTGCAGCACTTAGCAGCATAAAACTTCTCTGGGGAAACTGAAAGTACCTCTTTAAGTAAAGTTACTATAAACTTGGTTCAGAAAGAGAGATCTTTATGAGATGGGTTACATTTTATGGACCAAGTTGGGGTATTTTTAATGGAGAAGCAGGTGATTTTTAATGCCTCTTGCAAGTGAAAACCTGACACCAAAGTTTTGACTCTCTAATTTCAGAGCAAGATTCAACCTGCAGCTTGTGACCTTGCTCACAGGAGACATCAAAACATAGCCAGCGCGTTGACTTGGCTCACTTCTCCTTTACTAACTTTCCAACTGTTCTTTAAGAAGTTTCAGTGTAGCCAGTTGGCCTTCCAGTGAAGATTAAGAAACTTTAAGTGCTGTTTGAACAGTGGTTTAAAAACTCCCGAAGTGACCACAGGGAAAAAAAAACCCAAACAACAAACCACCACCCTGGAGCTAAAGTTTAATTTTAAATCAGAGAAACAGAAGCAGAAAGCTAGGGTGAGTTAGTTTATAGTGACCGTCACAGATGCGGCAGTTCCTTTAGCCATGGGTCTGTTGGGCTCAGTTGCAGAAAAATGCGTGCAAGTTTTTTGGCTGGAGCAAATCTTTGCTGTCAGGGCAGTCTCGGCCCTCCTCTTGCTACTGCTGTTCTCTGCAGAGATGCAGGCTACCTTGACTGTATCTTTACTCCTGATGGGAGCTTCGACGTTGCTTTTCTGCGATGCTCAGGTTTTATCATCTTGATCTGAGCAGAAAGAAGACAGTCTGGTCCCTCTGCGGTCTTCACCCGACTTCCAGGAGCTGGATTTCTGGAAGCTGTGCCGTCCGTCCCGTTTATCAGCCTCTCTGAGCAGTGCTCACTCTGCAGTGGCTCCCTTGTTTTTTAGTGAAGCGCTGCAGACTTGTAGAGCATGCTGGCATTCTTTTTCTTTTTTTTTTTTTTTTAAAAGGCGTGCATTTATCTGATTAAGAGCTATGTAAATTTAGATGCAAACTCGTTTCAGCCCTCGGGGTGCTTGGCGAGTTGCCTGGCATGCTCTCGGGTGCTGGAAAAGTCTGCGCACCACTGTTGCTCCAAGGGAAACTTTCAAGTGCGTCATTCCTCTTCTTTTTTTCCTTATAAAGGTTATTGTGCCTCAGCCCTCATTGAATTACCTCCCTAGTTCAGAAAGGAAAGGTTATTTTTCCCTCTCTTTTCCCCTTGGCAACTCAAGAAGAGTTTGCCATCACTGCTCACTAAAAATGTCCCTTGCAGGGCCATTGGTATTTAAGCGTGCTCCAGGGACGCCCCCGGGCTCTCTGCTGGGGCAGCTGACCGGCTCAGGCAGTACAAGGACAGCCTAAAAAGGGATCAGGGTAAGGAAAAGTTCTTTTCTGGGCCCAGAGGCCTGTGAAACCCATTTGTGTTGTAAATATGGAGGGAATGTTTGTCAGTCACAACAGAGAAAAAAAAAAAAGATGCCTGAGGATGCTCACTTTGCCCTGAAATTTTTCATGTGTTTTCTCCAGTGATTTGAGGGGTGGTTAATTGCTCTCTCTTTCCTGCAAAACCAAGAAAGGACCATCAATATTTCATATTAGGAGACATGGTCGGGCTAAATATAGCTACTGCTTTTCTTCTGACAAGCGAGCAGCGAGGAGCTCGCTGTCTCCTGGCTCTCCGCACTCAGCGCTGGTCCCCATCTCTTGGCCGAGCTTTGGGTCTGGTCCTAACCTTGCTGTTTTTCTCCGTGCATGTATTTCACCTTGTGTGTCGCCGAGCACTCACACACTCCTTTAATTGTCGTCTTCTTCAGGTGTGGTCTGAGAGACTGTAGCTGACACCCTGTTGGATGTTACCCAGTTAGCATTACCTGGTACATAGCAACTGACGATCTGCAGGCTCACTTAAATAATAAATAAATTAAAAAAAAATAGATTACCCTTCTTTTGCTCTGCACAGGCCTGGATACAGGTGCTGGATGGGACATTGTTTCTAGGCTCCCCCAGCTCAACTCCTTATAGTCTGCTGGACACTCTTCTTGGACAAAATATTTCGCCTGTGCCTGCAATTCGAACTGCTTTTTTCCATCAGTGCAGAGGGAGGTGCAGCTCTCATCACTGCTGTCCTCATTTCCCAGGGCTTTACACCTCCTTTGGAAGCGCTGATGGATCTGGAAATGGTGGGTGAGCCGGCCTTTGGGAAGCAGCCCAGCCCACAGGGAAACCTGTAGTGTCTGATGGGAGGATAATGAGATGCTAATAAAGCCCCCGGGGGAACGAGCTGGGGTGGGGGGTGGCTATGAATGTGCATCCCTGTTTCCCATCAGCCCCATTTCCAGTGGTATGAGTGTCACCAGGATCACCCTGAAGTTTAAAAAAGAAATGCCAAAAAGATTAAATGCACATAAATAAGCTGCGGTACAAGACACGGAGGAATTCCCTCTTCCCTGGCAGAGTCTCCCTCTTGTCAAGCGAGGAACTTCTAATAGCAATTTTTCAGTCCACAGTGATAGTCAGTCAACCGTTTGGGGGCTGATGGGAAGTGATTTTGAGACACACCACAGAGCATTTTGAGCCCTTTCAGGAATCCTGGTTCCGAGGTGTTCCCTCCAGCTGGAAAATCTGTATATGGCCCCAGTCACCTTGGGTCATTACCGTGACGGGCTGGAAACCTTGTGCAAGGTATGCCAAGCCAGTACAGCCTCTCCTTTGTTCATGGAGAAGCATTTGTTCTATAAAAATCTAATATAAAAGGGGTTTCTGTTCAGGACCGAGAGGCTTGATGTTTATTTGCCACGTAAAACCTGCTTGGCTATAAGTGGGACTTGAGTGCGGTTTTATGCCTCGTGCAGGTTCTGCGTGAATCGCGCCCATTAAAAACTCCTGTAAAATGATAAAGAACAATATTTGTTCTGCAGTTTCCCTTAACTCCCTGAAAGCACTCTGGATCTGCATTTGTTCAGAGCTGCCGTTGTTATTATTTGTAACAAACTGATTGTTTTCACTGTGAATTTTGTTTATTTTCTCTGATGGAACATGTTGCCTTATTTCCTGTAAATACAGCATAAACTGTTGTATTAACAAACTGGTCTTTATAGAATAGCTTGGTTAGCGTTTGGCCAATATCCACCTATTGCAGATTTCACAAGAGCTCGCAGAAGGAATTGAAAGTTTAAATAACTTTCCCATGGATTTACCCTTCAGGGCTGAATTGGTTTGCCTCAGTGATTTAATACTGTCAAGAAATTTGCGGCCAGCGTGATGGTAGGCAGTATTAGAACGATTTGAATGAGCTTCTCAATCAGATCATCTTTTCCATTTGAAAGCAGGTGCTGGAATCTCTTTTATTTAAAAAAAAAATTAAAAAATCTTGCCCCTGCTTTGTTTTTCATTTCAAATTTACAAGTTTCTTGACACATTGTTACTGCTAAGTGAGGCTGCACTGGGGCTAGGAGAACCCCCTGTTTTCTGTTTTGTGTATAGCTGGGTGTTTTTGCTTTAAATTGCGTGCTTTTTGTCATCGCTTCTGCCAGTGGAAGCAGGTGTTTCTGAATCCTGTAGGTCTTGCAGAAATTTTGTCCGTCACTTACCTGGCTTGTAATCAATTCATGCTTTGCAAAGGCTGTCACTGGGTTTGCTGTTCTTTTCTTCCTTTAAAACACATTTCCTATATAAATTAGAGATGTGCCCTAAAGTTTTGTGGATCTAACGTATTTTCAGAGTGATTAGACCCAAGAGGAACCATCCTGAACTCCCTGCTACGTTTGCATTGCACACGAAACAGGTCGCAGCTTCTGTGAGAAGCTACAAATCATACTGTGCAGAGAGGGAAAACATTGATCTTTTTTTGTCTGGCTTCAGCTTGTAAATCATTTAAATTCTCAAACAAGCATTCCTCTGTTTTGCACAGAACGTCCTATTGCTGCTGGGAGTACTGGGGTAAGGCTGGCACCAACCAGACTCCCGGGCTGGGATTTTTGAAAAACGTTTGAATGTCAGTCTTAACTTCCCTTGAAGTCATAGGTAGACCGGTTTTAACTTTAATTTTTTTTAATCAGCAAGATTTGGGCCAGAGCGACCAACTTAAAGAAATCCCCTTTATATTTGCCATACAGCTCCTCCCTCTTCTCAAGTATTTTTCGTACAACACCCCTACTTTTTAGTGCTGCTGAAGCAGGAGAGATTTTGCCGGATTGCCTATGCAGCAGAGAAGCAGAAAACCTCAAAAGCGGCAGGACTCTCCAGCCCACATATGTGTTGGGGATCTGTGGACGATTTTGGCCCAGCTTCATCTGAATCTGAGCCGACCGGTTTGGGTTTCCTTGGATAGGTTTGCCAAGTACCCGACGATCGCTGTCTGTGTTACAGATGAGCCTGTTCCATTTCTTGCAGCTTTTGGTCACCTTTGTGCTTTCTTTTGCTCAGTTTACCGGACAGGCATGGCTCAGTATTTCACCAGGCTGTCTTTGGTTTTGCAGGTAGCTGTATCCAGCTGGGTGGCAGGTGGATCCAAGGGTTACCATGAAGTTTTCAGGACCCCTGGAGAGCCAGAGGTTGTCTCTCCTTCTGGAGACGGCAATCTCTAGGGAAGCTCAAATGTGGAAAGCACATGTGCCGAAAATTCAGCCCAATCAGGTAATGTCTCTTTTTCACATCATTCCTCTTAGTAAAGGCATGAGACTATCCTCTGGTGTATGGTTATGTGAACAACTGAAGCTGTTGCATGAGAAGTTACCTACTGCTTGAGACCTGGGAAATCAGACTCTGAAGTACGTGATTACCTTTTTATTTGAGGGACATATGTGCCATCAGGGGTACAGAACACACTCTACAGTGTACAATGGTAGAGCTCTGCTGTTCCTTGTGAAAGCACGTACGGATATTATCTCAATTAAACTCATTTTACAAATTGTGTGGCTAATTGACACACATTTCTAGTGGGCACCAAGTCTGCAGCAGTTCTTAAAAGCAGCTTCATTTTCTTGGACCAAGTTCACTAATAACAGCGTTGAAATGCTGGTTGCTTTCCACGTGAAGTGACGTCTTCTCACATAAACCGTTACCGCTAGCTTAGCTCAGGCCTCCTCCTGAAACAGCGTCTTCACAGCGACAGCCTGACTTTGCCGCCTTTTCCCATTTGGAGCCCGATTCTTCCCTAGTGTAAATCAGCCCAATTCTGGAGGGTAGGCTGTAGCTGAATCAGCTGAAGCCAGATGAGGATCTGACTTGGTAAGGCACTCTCTACTTCAGGAAGAACCCTACTGACTGTCATAGGACTATTTATGGAGCAGGGTGCAAGCTGGTGTCGAGGGAAGCAGAGCCAGGCGCTGGCCTGTTCTGGTGAGGAATGTTCTCATAGGACTGGAGGGGAATTCAGGGTGGAAGGGACCGCAGGGGGTCCGCAGTCCAGACTCCCGCTTAAGTTTTGCAGCAGTTGGGAGGTCGGACGAACTCACTCACAGCCTTAACCAGCCTGAATTGTGTTTGCGTTCCTTGTGGAGGAGGCGTCTGTCTAATATGTGCACTCAAATTGCCTGTGAACTTCACAAAGTTTTGTTTAAAACGGATCGTGAAACGTGAGGACGGTTGTCATAGAGTTTCTGGTACTTTGTCATTGGGTTGGGCAGAAGTAACGACACTAATGGCCTCAGGTCCAGTCTTGCTGTTCTTGATTCATAGAAAATGTTCACGCAAGTGTGTCAGCTGTTGTCAAAGCTACTCAGTGTAGTGTTTGCTTTTCCTGTCTGGCAAACAAAAAACTGCTGTTGTTGTGTAGGAACAAATATGTTTTTAAGGGGCTCAGTATTAGTTTTGTTAATCTACATTTAGCTTTCCAAACAAGCGACCTGGTTGTCAGAGGTGTTGAGTATATTGTAGCTGTAGCTGTCTTTGGGCACATACAAGTTAAGACCCTGGTTTATGGTAAACCAGCCTGTTATTCCATGCTGGCGGTATTCCTGGGTTTCGTGATTATAATGTAGGGAGATAAGATTACAGTATAACAAGATAGGTTAGGGATTCAGAGAGGGTAAGCAAACCAGATTCTTGTGTGAAGATTTCACAGGGACAAGGCGCTTGCATTTTGCCATGGGGAAGTTGATTTGGGTGGCTCAGAAACCACCACCGGCATTAGACAACCTCCCTAGCGATCCCTCCCTTGCAGCATTGCGTTGTCACCCTTTGAAGATGAGGTTCCCCCAGTCTGAGTTGCAGCAGAAGGACTAACCTCAGCCCTGTCTATGGTGATGAGCAGTTGTCCTGCTACCAGGGACCTTGAGGGGGCCCTTAACGTCACTGCGGTTGAGGTTTGCAGCACCTCACAAAGTGTTGTCCTCAGTGGTAAATAATCAGAGACGTTCACGGGACTTTGGGCCGTCTGCCGAATACGAAACCGGGGGAACAGTTCTGTTGCCTGCTGTGAAAAGTCAGAGTAGGATTGAGTACGGAAACAGCCTGATGGCTAAAGCCAGTGTACAGTTTGCGCTCCATAGCAGAGTCTCAGGTCTGGCCTGGACGAATACCAGCTTTGTCCTTTTAGTGTGCAATTACGTCATGATGATGAAGGATCTCTCCCCCATAACCCCCTCCCACACTTTGACAATATCGCTGAGGTCCGTGTTTGGGACTGTTTCCTGGCCCTCTCTGCTTGTCCCTTAGGGTTTCTGCTCCTGGAATTTCCAAAACTCTGTTGTCTTTGTAACCTTTTTCTCTGTATTTTTCGACGTGTCAGTTCAGACATTGACTTTATCAGCTAGAAAGCCATGCCATTAAATGTTTTCTAGCAGTAAATAATCATTAAATTGGATCGAAATCTCTGTGTGTTTATGTGTAAAATGTACCAAGGTCGGATTTAAAAGAGAACATAAACACAGCTGTCTGCTCTGGGGAAATCCTGACTTGCAACGCCACGGCGCAGCTGAAAACCCTGTATCTGTAGACACGTATTTCTCTCTGTTCCTACAGTTTGTGACACCCGACTTTTCAAACTGTCAGGCGTTCCTCCACTTCTGCAGCGTTCATTTTGGCTGTGCTGCAGTCACGGACATTCAGTGTGAATTATCCTATTTTCTGTAATATCTGGAAGAAGGTCATACTCCCTAACATCTACCGCCTTCTTCTCAAAACAGCTGCAGTAGCCTAAAACCTCACTTGTATGAAGCTGTTGTTTATTTCCCATGACAGTCAGGAAATCTGCATCCTTCGGGGTATCAGATCTGGCAACCCGAAGTGAGTGTAACTTTCCATTCCTTGTTGCAAAGGTAGACTGACTACAGGAAGGGTTTTAATGAAGTCATCTGGTTTGCAAACAGGAAAATGTGAGTGCGTCTCCGTAAAGAATCTAATGCTCAGATTGGAGGTATGCTGTAACTATTTTTCAGGAGCAAACTTTCAGTTTTGACTCGTTAGGAGATATTTTTGGTCCTAATGTTTAAAACCGGAACAAATTCAGTTTCTAAATGTGTGTCAGAATTGAGATCTTTGAAAGGAAGAAAGAAATTCATAGTTACAGAAACAGGAAGACTTCACATTTTTAGTACAGGATGCAGAATCTGTTGGGGACTTTGGTCCTGATAATGTATGTAATTTTTCTGTTTCGTTTTTACTTTTTGTCTGAAAACTCCCATTTCCCACTGCCATGTATATTTCTTTTAGTTTCCCTCCTTTAAATGTAGGCCACTGGCTTCAGGTATGTTGTAATATATCAAAGCCAGATGTCACAGGGGCTTTTCAGCCTGAAAAAAATAGGTGGGCTGAGTCTGGAACCCTCCTAGTGCTTCTCAAGGTATTTGGTTTTTTTGTCTTTTTTTTTTTTAATCTTTTTTGTTTTTTTCTTCTCTTGGGTTATACAATATGCAGATGACATTCAGAAGTTTTCATGTCATTAAGCCTTGAGAAGTCAAGTGGCAAAGACTGGCCAAAGGTTGATTTTTGCATGTTACCAAGTAACTTTGCAGCAGAGAGGCGTGTAAGCCAAGATTATTTTTTTTTATTTTTTATAGAAACACAGTGTCACTTCTGGCATTTCTCCTTTCTTGCCTGCTTTAGCTCTTTCTTTCTGTCCTCTCCTTTGTTCTCTGTACGTCTAGAGGAATCAGGAGACCTCAGTTTATCTCCAGTTTTTCCACTGTCTCAGCACATGACCTTGCGTCGGTCTTTTAACCTGCTGGTGCCTGTTTCATCCAGTGGTTAAATCGGAGGCTGACTTACCGTTTTTGTAAAACATTGTGAGGTTAATGCATCCAGCTCTTCTGCTTTGCCGAGTGGTAATCCCTCTCCCCGGTGTTTGTGCCTGTTATCGTGCAGCTGGCAGAGCCTGTGCTGCTTGAGCTCTCTGCTGTGCCACTGAACCGCCCGCAAACCTCGCAAAACGCCACTTCTGAAAGGTGTCGGGAGAGCACCTCTAATTCCCAACCGGTACAAGTGAGAAGCAACCCAGTGGGCATCACTTGGGGGTCACTTTGCCGTAAAACAAGCGCTCCTGAGACCCAAGGAAGGACCGATTTGGCCGCGATGTTTGCAGCTGCCCTTTGCAGAAACCTCCCAGTCCTGCTAAAGGTCACCTGCTTGCTCCTGGAGGAGCCCACAGCGGGACTAGGTGGAAACAAATAGGGGAAAGAGCAAAACATCTCTGTCTGGGACAGCTGACACTAAAGAAAGAAAATTATCAGGTAAGGTGTTTTTCCTAGATTAGGCAGCAATAAAATTGAGTCATGTTTGAGTTCACAGATAGTATTTTTTTTCAGACTGCATTTTTCCTGAGTCTGAAGGTATTCTTAGAGGTGATTTGTGCTGTGCTTGCACTCTGGAGCCTGAGTCACGGCCTCTGGCCCTCCAGTCTCACTCAGCGAGCGTGCAGCGGGCCCCGCAGCAAGGTTGCCGGGTCAGGGATGGTAACATGGCGATTCAGGTGTCGGTAAATGGGAAGCAGAACAACAGCTCTGTGTGCCTGTCACCATCGCCAAGGCCTCGCAGGCAGCTTTCTGACACACTGCCTAAGAAATGGGGTTTGGGGCACTGATTTGGGAATCGGACAAATAAGATCTTAACCGTCAAACATGCTGGAGGCCTCAGGTCTGTGTGTTTCGTATGGGGCGCTGTACTCCCTTCCTTGGGCAGAATTACTGACCTCTGCGCTCGCTCACTTTGGGGTAGTAAAATGACAGACACGGTGAGTGTGGCGCTGCTGTGATTCGGTATAGTCACAGCATGTCGACTGGCCTCATGTTGTGTTACTTAAAATACCTGTCAGGAACCCCTCACAGAAGCTTCCTGTTCGCTGTCAGCATGTTCATCGATAAGAGTACGTGACGGACAGGATATTTCTTGATAAGGAATCGAGCAAATAATGGCAGGAAGCAGGTAATTGTGATGTACCCCTGTTTTATGCAGTGAGAGAGAGGGAGAAGTTTACATTTCTCCACTTCCCCATTTGCGTCTCAACCACATTCTGTTAGCTCCGTAGTTCTGCAAGGTGGCTTATTTGTGTTTGTGCTGAAACACAAGTGATGGGTTTACACACACTGTTGTGCACTGAAAAGGTGGGAATTAGCATCACATCATCTGCTCGGAAAAGAAGATAGAGGTCTGTCGCTCACACATGGGTTTGGAATAGCGGTGACAGGTTTGCACACCTGACAGGCCTGTTGCGTTCCTCGGGTATCACGTTTTGCGCTGATACCAGCAGGACTCATTTTGTACAGCATTCTCTCCACTGCTCCTGACGGTGGATGCGCTTGTGTGCTCCACAGGTGGAAGACAGGAAAAGACCTGTGGAAACCTCTTCTTTTTTATGGAGGTTCCAAGCAGGACTGAGCAATATGGAGAGGAAGGGAGTAGTGTTAAAGAGCAGCGGCTGATCTTGCCCTCTGCAGGAGCGTTCATCCTGCCACCTTACAGGTCACTGTCAGTCCCAAGCACAAGGTAGATGAAGAGATAGCCGTGAGCAACCAGCTGTAAGTGCGCAGGGCACTCTGTAGAGGTTACTCTAAGGCAGCGTGGCTGCAGCCCTGTGTCTCCTCACTCAGTAAAACGCTGTCAGGCACTTTTGCAAAAGTCCTGCCTGAGCTCCGTAGGGTGTTTCCTGCACAGCAAACCAGTTCTGAAATCCCTCATGCTTCGTGCAGCTGCCCACTGGCTTCCTGCTGCGGGCGAGCCGAGCGGCGCCTCCTGCAAAGATCTGCACGGACGCCAGTCCAGGGAAAGCACTCCGGCACCTGCACGGGCTCAGCCTTCGATGGGGGGTGTGTGTGGGCAGGTAAATGGTCCCCCCGCAGCAGCGGGGGTTCTTGGGCACCTGCAGTCACACGGGGCGAGCAGAGCTGCGGCCTGCTCCTGGTGGTGACTGTGGTGAAGAGCTGAGAGTGCCAACACTTTTCCATGGTAGGAGTTATATGCACATCTGCTAACCTTTGCTGCCGGGATGGGCAACCCGATCTGTAGGTTGGGCCTTGCAGATCTGGCCTCCCCTCCAAAAAAGAAGCACCAGCCAGAGGAGAGGGATCGTCCCTCATTCCTGAGGACAGTTGTTAGGGCTGTCTTGGAGCAACCTCCTGCTTCTGTGTGAAAACGGAGTCTGCCGGTGCTGGGCTTGCAGTGCTGTCCCATAATTAAAGCCACCATGCCAGGCTAGTGAGCTCATCCGCGCCGGGGGGTTAAGTTCTGCAACAGTGGATTTGTGGCAACCAAACAAAAGAGCTGGGCACACGCAGATGTGGTGAGTGGCAGAAGGCGACGTCTGTGGGAAAGCACCTCAACACCAAAGAGGAACTTTTGCTTTCCAGCCCAAAGGGACTTTTTACTTTCAGCCACCGTCATGTCTCATTTTTGCTTTTAATTTTATGTAACTAAGGAACAGTGACCTCACTGCTTAATTAATTTTACAGTGCTGCATTTCTTACTGGTGTTAAGAGGATGGCATGGGTACACCTTCGAGGGAAGGATAAGGACGGATACATTTGCATGGGAAGCTCCTTGCCCTGCTTGGCAGTGGCAGCAGAGTTTGTGGGTGGGCGTCTCTTAAGATGGTCCTTAACGAACTTTCCTAGTGCTGAAGGGAGGACGTCTAAATTCACCTGGTCTTCCTGTGTGCAGGGATTCTCCCCCTGCCCTTGTGCTCCTTTATTTGCTGTTACACTGGGATAGACAAACATTTGTAAGGTTGATGCTATTGCTGGAGACTGACCTCCTTTCCTTTGCTTCCCTGGATCAATGTAAGAAGCCAGATTTTACTTTGAGGCCCTACTTCTGCGGTGGGTACACCTAGGTGTGACTTTGCTTTACAATTGTCCTTCATGTTAAAGGAATATAATGCTCTGTGTGGGGACTGGTTTTTGTTTGTTTTAATTTTATATCTAGTCATACTGTTGCTTTTCAGTAGTTTAGGTTAAGCACCATTTCTCTTTTACGTGAAAAGGACAGATGTTACCAGGGACTGAGCGTACAGTTGTTCTTTATGTTACAGCCTTACCCTTCAAAGCTAAGTCCCGACTCCGAAATTTATCCTTTTGGGCCCATGCTGCCTGTGAAGGGTGAGAAGACACAAAAACAGATCTCAGGACCACTGAAGACATGAGAGGCAGTATAGAAAGACACTCTTACCTTTTCCACCCATGCTGTTTTCAGGAGAAGGCATAACCTTTGGCTTTGGCAGGCACAGGGAAATGAGCACTGACCCAGGACAGGCAGCGCCAGGAGCTGGCGAAGCAGGTGCCTGTTGCTGCTGGGATCTAGAAAAAAAAGGGATGGGAAAAATTCCCCCGTGCTGCTGAGGCATGGTCCTACCTCCCCACATAAAAGTGCAACGGAGACCATTTTTCACCCCCGCCCCCCTCTCGTGCAGACATGATATGGCAAGAGGGAATGCGGGGGACAGGGGCTGCTGCCCCGTTGATACGCACTGATGGTGCAGCTCCTCCTGGACTGGCCAAGGGCCCAAGCCCGTTCCTGCTGGCTTCACGGGTAAAGCTGCTGCGACAGGACCAGGGCGGTGATTTAAGAGTCTGAGGCAGGTTTCTAAAGTCACATTTATTTTGTTGGAGGCTGGCTTTTAGCAGGTAATCGAACTTGCTGGATTGACGCAGATAGCGCATTTCCAAAATAATCGTTTATAGTCCACAATATTGCCCAAACCTGGCTGTGGTATTAAGCCCCTTTTGTATGGCTTCGTCTCCTTCCCTTTAAAAACACACACACTGAGTAAAGCAATAAGGAACTTAAACTTCAGTATCACTCCTCCCTTTTGTGCCTGTTTTAGGTTCAACAGTGCAGGCCACGCTTTGCGACACCATAAACATGGCCTATAAGAACAAGTTAATGCCACAGTGTTCCCATTTTTTTCCCCCGATAAATTCTAGGTCTTATCCTTCTGCCCAAACGATGTTTTCTAGCGTAACATTTAATAAACTCCTACTGCTGTGTGGTGCATTCATTATACTCCCAGCACACATCGAACTAGTCGGGGGGAAAGGAGTGCAAGGTGTTGCTGACCACAGGCGTCCTGCTCGTGGTGGGGCTCAGATTTCACCCTTAAATTGCAATAATGATTCTAGAATAAAACCTTATTTCTTAGAATTGAACAAACATATTTTCTTTTTTCTCGTGAAAAGTGGTAGGTGCTTTTTAAAAAGCCACACTTACAGTCAAGAGGCATCCAGAGGTCCCAGCTGAGACCCGAGGCCCATCTGGATCACACACAGTCCTGCTGACGCTGTTGCACTGTCACGGCTTCAGGAGAGAAAACAAGGGAGGACTTTGCTCTCCGCAGGGGAGCACCCGATATAGCACTGAAGGCACGTTTTGCAGGCAGAGGTAGTATCGCTTTATTACCCAGGCCAGTTCAGCTGGAAGAAACAGCTTTGGATTACACAACTCCGTGGCTCTAGACTAGATCCTGCTACGGTAGCACTGATAGCGCTCTACTTTTTCTAAGGGAATTGGGTGACCTGACCGCATTTCGGCTGTGCACCGGCTGTCACACAGCCCAGAGCTCAGCCCCAGGACTCAGGCCCTGTCCGCACCCCGTCTGTCCCACGTGGTGGTGGAGGTGGAGCTCAGCACCAGTAAGGGAGTTAAGCACAGAGTAAAGATGTCGTACTGCAAGTGACAATGAAAGATGTGAAGCTGGTGGCAGCCCTAATGTAATTACAGTTCTGCCTGCAAGGCGCTGCTTTCACACACGTTCCTGGCTCCGAGGTAGGAGAGGCAGTAGACCTGTAGCAGAGCGCGTTAGTGTCGATATAAAACACACAGTAGGTACTGCAGCGATAGGTGTACCCTGAATTATTTAATTTGCATCAATGGTGTGTGGTTTTATTTTCTAAAATCCTGCTACTTCCCTCCCACTGTGTTATTGCTGGGAGGACAGCTACAACCCAGCCCAGCAGATTTGTTTGTTTGTTTGTGAAAGCCCTTCGCTTTCGTGTCAGCAGTAACTGTGCAGCCAGCACCTCACTCCATTTCCTTCTCTCCTTAATTATCTCAGCAGCAGCCAAACTGCTGCAAAGAGCACGAAGACCCTGAGCGCAGGAGAAGATATTTGTTTGGTTTCGCTTCTGGACACATCCTTGCTCATGCTTATCATCCCAAATGATCACTGTTGAAGCGAGACCAGACATTTACTCTGTTGAATTGAAGGGCTCTGGTAAAACTCTAAATATTTCAGAGAGTAAGTCAGAAAGATTTTATGTCAATGACTGATCTGCATTTGTGGTTGAAATTCAGCTATTGTCCAAACAGATCAATGGTGGTGACTTGGGCCAAAACATAAAAACCCCCACTATTTGAAACAGTAAACCCAAACTTCTTCAGGTGAAATTGTACCTGCTTTACCCCAGTTAACTGCTAACTGCACTGCTAAAGGTCTTTTGTAAACTGTTTGGAATTTTCTTTTTTTAACATATACTGAGCTAGAAATATCTCCACAATTGGAAGGAAAAATAAACCTGTCCTCTCAAAACACCAACTCCATCCCTCCCCTCTGCAGTCTGTCAGGAGCTCTGCACCCCCCTCGCTCCCATCACATGCCTGCTTTTGTTCAAGCCGGGCATTTCTCTTCAAAGGAGGTTTGTTGTTTGAGTTTCTTAGTTCTAAGCCAAAGAAGAGCCTGTCAGTACTTGAGAATCTAGAAGACATCCTTCCTCTTTTCCTCAATGTACAGTGAAATTTCTGAGCTCTGTTTGAGGTTGCTGTAAGTAAAGTGGTCTTTTCCAGGGCAGATTTCTCGGGATGGGGTAAGTAAGTGCAAGAACAAAGCGGTGATTCAGGCTGGCTCGCAGCCCCCCCTTTCAAAGGCGGCTTTGTTTCTGTGCTCAGTAACTCCTGCAGAGGTGAAGAGTTTGGTCTTCTCTGACTCGCTCAGCCTGTGTATAAGAATAGCTTGTTTTTCTCTCCAACAGGATGTAGCCATTTCTCCAAAGCAGAGGGATGAGGTCATTCAGTGGCTGGCCAAGCTCAAATACCAGTTCCACCTTTATCCAGAAACGCTCGCCCTGGCCATCAGCCTTTTGGACAGGTTTTTAGCTACAGTAAAGGTAAATATTTGCAGATACATAAACTGAAATAGATTTATACCACCCACTCAGCTGTTTCTGTGTACAGTCCGAGTGGTGTGGCTGCACGGAAACTCTTACTTCCCCCTCCGCTCTCGCACGCGTGAAGGATGGTACCTGCGCTACTCCATGAGCTGAATTGCGGGTTGTGGAACTGGCAGCACACGCTGCCACCAGGAACTCGTGGAGGTAGATTCTTCCCGTAGTCGTTTTTCCCCTGGTGAAAGCAGCCGTTGCTTTAATAAGAACACTCAGTTCTCGGGGAAACTCACCCAGTGCTCGTACCTGCCAAGAATATCTTCCCTCTTCCCTCTGTTCTGCCCATTTCCTTCCTATAACGCAGCTCCTCAGTTTAAACGTATATTAACCTAAGAGAAACGCAGCACCCTTCCTCTTCAACTACATGTTTGCTCTTAACCTGGTTTACATGTTGAATTTGCCTCAGCACAGTACCTGTTCCTTTAAGCACTTAGAAAACGAGGCTGGAGAGAGGTTGGGCTTTAGATAAAAAGAGAACCATCTCTACCACAACCGAAATACATTCATAAAGGTAAAGGACATGCCAGCTAGCCCGTAGTTAGAGACCTCGGCCCAGTGCCCTCTGACAGAAAAGCGAGGGAAAGTCCCTGCTCACCTCTTACTTTCTCTGGTGTTTTAACTGCATTCAATCTGATTTATACCTCCTGGGATTGCTGGGAACACCTGCTAACAGCCAACTAGCTGCAGGGAACAAATAAATGGTTAAGGATAGGTTTGCGCCTGGCAAGTGTGCAGGGAAACGGGGGGGGAAAAAAAAAGGGGAAGGGGGGAAGATACAGCCAGAGGTGATTGCTTTTTGGGGAGTAGTTCACTACTAACAGTGTGACCGACTAAGAGCTTAAGTCTGATGTCAAGTCAGGCAGATGGGAAGGAGAGAGAGGGGTAAGCAAGCATGGGCGCACGCCAAAGTGAGAGGCTGTCTGCTCCCGCTGTACCGAACAGAACAGAGCCTGCGCCCCTGCTTGGTTTTAAGGCTGTTACACCTTAGAAGCTGTTTAAAAAAAGGCAAGGTAAAAATCACCGTTCCGGCTACCTGCAACTGGGATCTGCTGCTCCTGTGTCCCTGGAAGCCTGCCACAGAAACCAGTTAGCTGTGCCGTGTTTTGCACCCGCCCAAACCACTGAACCAGCTGTGGGCCAACCCAAAATCCCTGGCCTTGAGTTGTGAAGGCAGGCTTTGGGTAGCCTTATCTCTTACTGTATTTGCTCAGTTACATTCCGTGCTCAGCAGATCTGCGGTCTCATCTGCACGTATGTCTAATCTCATCACCAACACAGTTAGGTAAGCAACACAGCTTGGGAGATCAAGCAGAGCACCATCAAGTACTCTCAGCCTGCGCGCTTACATTTCAGTGTGACTTAGTTTGGTAGAAAGCAAGTGACATCATCTATTAACCCATCCATTAAATACTAATAAATATTGATAATGTTTTAATTACAAGCCATGGAAATTTTTTATTTTTAAGATTAAAGTAGCTGATTTACTAAAATACTGAGACGGGAAGCAGATTTCAATCGCTAAACAGCTGATGCCCTCAAGTGCAGTTTTTCTGTCAGTAATTCGCAGCAGCCAAGGAGTCTGCAGACAGAGCGTGAGTAAGGAGTCCGCTGTGCGCTTCAGGCAGCGAGCAGGAATGTGGAAAGGTGTTTTGTCTGGGTGAGCGTTGTTCACACAGCTCAAGGCTTTGTGCTCCCTCCCCCAGTTTTCCTCCCGTAAAGCTGTCATTCCTCTGATGCAGCTTAACCCCTTTTTTTTTTTTACCAGGCGCTACCATGTGGGATTTTATTAGCACGACAACTAGTCCCTTCCCTTCACCATGAACACGCTTGGCAGTTGTTGGGACTGGCTGCCCCTAAGGCTCTTACCCGGTCATACTCCGGTGGCCCAGGCCCAGCCAGCAGCGTGTGGTGTTACTCACTGCACAGCCCTCGGTAACCCTCAACAGAGCGGTGTTACGGCCGCTCCCGGCAGTGCTTGCCCATGCACAAGCACACGTATGCGCACAACACCCACCCCACCACTCCACACGTATCAAAGCTGAGGTTTAAACAGCACTAGAAAGCCAAAGCTCTAGGCATAGTACGGTCCTTTTTAAGTAACTGAGGCTGAATGTGGGTAAAGATCTTAAATTTGGACATGATCGTGTGTTCTTCTCCTGCTGCTTTCTGGAAAGTGTTCTGGATTTCTTGGCAGCTCATTGAATTAAGCGTAACGTGCAACATTTCACCCTTCAACCACTCCACAGCTCGGCTGCATCTGCTAAAATTTACCTAGCAGGAATAAATCATGGCAACAGTTCAGGTTGTCAGTGGATTTTCAAATTCGGCACAGGATTTTCACTTACCTTTGATTTCAGCATCTCCCAACACGGACAGAAGAGGACCAGTTGCCCATAGGCTACTGGAGGTGGGGTCCTGGTTCTGCAGCTGTCTGCTCACTCGGCTGTGACAGAGCTTACAAACAGTGCCACTGCATTCCCTGGCCCCAGCCACCAAGGAGCCAGGGGACACGTCCTGCGGATTTTGCAGTGATGTTGAAGTGAAGTCCTCTCTCGGACAGTCAAATTGACAAAGATCGCTGCTAAGCAGAAACTCCGCAGACGCACCACATTCAGAGCATCTGTTTAGTCTGCTCCACCACAGGGACTATCTGAATACTCACAGCCCATCACCCCCCAGCCAAGGCCATGAAAAGTTTTTGATGCACATGAAAATATAAAAAAAAAAATTAAAAAAAAATCACCTTTTCCCCTCCAAATTTAACATACGTTGCCTAAAACAACTCACTGTAGGAAGGACCAGCTCTCCCTCAGTAATCCCTGGGCCACAGTTTTGAGAACTGCAGTATGAAATTACACGAGTGGTGATTTTTATGGGTGTTTTATACTTCCCTAAGCAAGGACAGAGTTTTAAATTTCTTTTCTTTTCTTGCCTATTCTGTGTCCGACCCCTAGCAGCACGAACAGCAGAGCTCCGCCGGAGCGGCAATATTTTTTTGCCAGATGACAATCAGACCCTTCTGATTTTCCCCCTCCTATTTTCTACTGCACTGCCTAAAAAATGAGCTCTTTCCACTCCAGCGCTGCACATCACTGGGTGCCAATTACGATCACGGGGCTGGCAAATTGCTCTTTTGCCTTACGTCATGGAGTATGGATTTTTGCTTGGCGCGGCTTGCCACTGCCATGGCGTAGTTGGAGGTCAGCCTGCTGATCCAGAACGCCTCGCACAGGCGGCTGAGACCCCGGGGCTCAGGATGTCCGACCAGAAAGGATTATGCATCACTTTCTGCAGCACATTCACCCCGATTTCTCTCCTCTTCTCTGCCATAGGCCCGTCCAAAGTACTTGAACTGTATTGCAATCAGCTGCTTCTTCCTCGCTGCAAAGACCATTGAGGAAGATGAGGTAATTTTTTTGGTTCTTCCTACCTTAGCGTTGTCTGAATACATGCTCTCCCAGTCCTGCCTTTGCTTGCATGTGGTGGCTGCTGCTTGCCAGGACAGGAACGAAGGATTTTGTGTGATTTCTATAGTGATTGGGTTCTCTCGTTTCTTTTTTTGCCTTGGTTTTTGCAGAGGATTCCAGTACTGAAGGTATTGGCTCGGGATAGCTTTTGTGGTTGTTCTCCAGCTGAAATTCGCAGAATGGAGAAGATTATCCTGGATAAACTGAACTGGGATCTTCACATGGCAACGCCACTGGATTTCCTTCATATTGTAAGTGAGAGGCTATTTACATTCTTTCTGGCATTTGTCAGTGTAAATAAAGACAAAAAAGAGACTGAGACAAGAACTCTACCTGTAGGGGAACGAAGGCCTCGGGATGAGTTTGTAATTCCTCTGTACGCGTAGTTTCTAAAAGAAAAAGCCTTTGCAGAGAATTTCAGGAGACTTGTGCCACTTTGGGCACAATTTCCAAAATGCGGGCCTGCCATCTGACCCTCTAGCCTGTTCTGAGGCACGTTAAGCCGCATGCTAAGACTCACTGGTCCTGAACACCTCGCCCCTTCATCTTAATTGCTAGTGGGTTTGCTCCAAGCTAAGTGCCAGGCAGCGTGAAAACAGTACGTAGAACCAAGGAGAAAGCACTTGCTGCAGAAAGGCACAGCCAGAAAGCCAGATTCACTGATGAGACAAGACAAAGGGAAGAGTCCTGAGGTTTTCTGTTGAAGTTCATCCTCTGTGCTTGCTCGAGAAGCAGTTTTTGTCTAGGACACCTGAACTACCAAACCTGTGTTGCTGAAAGAAAAGGGTGGAAAGGGATATAGCCTCTTGCGGAGCCCTGAGAAGCCTGGTCCCCAGGCAGATGATGTATACGATGGCAGGCCACGCCAGAAAGGCCGCACAGAGCTGTTGGTGGGTTCAACGCATGGGGTTTTTTCCATGGTGTGGAAGTTGCCTTGAAGGTTAAGCTGGAGGATCCTTGCGCATCAAAGATGTGGCATGCCGTTCTCGAGGTCTGACCTGGCTTTGCCTGCGGGGTTGCCTGTCGGTGACGCCAGCTCCCTCATGTGCTTGTTTCCCCTCCCAGTTCCACGCAGTTGCGGTGTCCAACAGGCCTCAGCTACTGACCATCCTGCCCAAGCTGAGTCCCTCTCAGCACGTGGCGGCGCTCACCAAGCAGCTGCTGCACTGCATGGCCTGTTACCAGCTGCTGCAGTTCAAGGGTTCCATGCTGGCGCTGGCCATCGTCAGCCTGGAGCTGGAGAAGCTGCTCCCCGACTGGCTGGCTCTCATCATCGAGCTGCTCCAGAAGGCACAGGTGAGGGGGTGCTGGCACCGCACGCTGCGGCAGGGAGGGGCCGGGGGCCGCAGCAAACTGCGGTACCGCACAAGACGCGGCCATCAAAGCCACCCGGGACTTTCAGATCACTAGCTGCTCATCTCTGCCTGCAGCTGTGCTTTTGCGAGGATGGTTGTGCTTCAGCCTGAAGGGACAGTTTGTTGGACAGTTCTGCAAAGGCTTCACCTTGACAGCATGCAGGAGGTGACACAGGGTGGAGCCGTGTGCCCTCACAGATACAGGCTCGCTGTACAAGGGAGAAAATAACACACCGGGGAGAAAATCCTAGTTAGCTGCTCAGTCATTCATTCTCAGCATACTGGGTGGTCTGGCAGTACTGGAAAGACAAACTCAAGCTGCTAAAAATATGCAGTGAAACCTTTTACTATCTGAAAGGTTTTTTCTCCCCACTAGTCCCATGGGGTATAAGGAGGAGCAGGGGTCCAAGAGCCATTTAGATGTGGCATTGGGGGATATGGTGTAAGGGGAGAACTTGTAGATTAGGGTAGATGGTTGGACACGATAATCCCAAGGGTCTCTTCCAACCTGGACAATTCTGTGATTCTGCATCTTACGAAGTCATCATGTTGAGGGTTTTTTTGGTCCTTTATCATGTTCTCCTGCATCCAGCATGTCATTGAGAAGTTTGGTGTGCAGGTGGCTGGTGCGTTCAGAGCTCTGGCCCTGCCCTGGCCAACAGCATGTCCTCTCCATGGCAGCGATCCCTCAATGCCAGTATCTTTGCTTGTCTTCCCACTCCAGATGGATAGCTCGCAGCTGATCCACTGCCGGGAGCTTGTGGCACATCACCTTTCCACTCCGCAGTCTTCTCTGCCGCCCAATTCTGTATATGTCTACAGTCCCCTCCAGCATACCCTGGTGACCTGTAACAGAGGAGTGTTCAAATGCCAGCCCTCCTCTGTCCCAGGGCCAGGTTTCTCCAAGGACAACGGCAGGCCAGAAGTGCCAGTCACAGGTACAGCCGCGCTCTACCAGCGTCTGCCAGCTCCCAGCGGTTGCAAGCAAGCCTCTGCCAAGCGTAAAGTGGAAGAGATGGAAGTGGATGACTTCTACGATGGAATCAAGCGTCTCTACAACGAAGACATTGCTCCAGAGGTAGTGGCTCTTGAAAACATGGGCTCTGTCTGTGGCGCTGACGTCTCGAGGCAGGAGGGCAACGTTTCCCCTTGTCCGCCTTTACAGCCGGTGTCTGTCATGTAGCTGTGAGCGCACACCACGTGCTCCGGCATAGCTACTCCAGAAACCACGCGGAACCTGGCACCCCGTGTTCTCAGTGGGGGAGAAGGGGCCATACCTTGTCAGGCTGAACTGAAGGGAGCCAAAAAAAAACCAGAAAAAAAAAATCCCAACCCTTTTTTGAATTTTTTTCCTTGTGCGGCTAATTATAGTTCCACTATTTAAGCACTTAAAAACACAAAAAAGTATAAAAATCTAAAAAAAGACCCAAAAACCCAACAAAAAAAGTAGCAAAATATTGTTTCTTTCTAGTGTTGTCAGTTCCACTGTTTTTCTGCTCCTGTGTATTGTAACCCATCCTCCATGTCCAAGAGCTCACATCAGTCGTGCAGAGTTGTTCCAGGTTTCCCAGCCAACTAACACCTCTCCGATCCGATTTCCATCTGCTCCTTGCTCTCTTTCTGCTTGCTCCTCTTTTAATTCTCAGCAAGTCTTGTGCATGATGTTCTGTACTACCCGACCTTCATGACAGCTTTCTTTTTCCTTTCTAAAGAAAAAGACCTTTTTTGTTTTGTTCGCACTTTGGTGTTTAAATGTGATAATATTAAAAAAACTGGATTTAAATAAAAGGTTAGTCAGAAAAAAACCCAAAAACAACGCTTGCAAGCTGCTCCACACTTAACCACAGGAGCGTGAACGTACTCTAGGAGAACACTGGGGCAGCCGGCCTCTGTGCTCTCTGCCGTACACGGAGACTTCAAACAGTTTGCGTTTTCAAACACAGTAAGCAGTTAATGGATTTTGTGTCACTTGAACAAAACCGGTATTTTTTTCTTGTTTGCACCAAGAAATATTGCACTCAGTGTGGATGTTCACCAACGCTTGACACACAATGTCAAGTATAAACCATAAATTCTGCAGTCTTTTTTCCCATATGTTTATAAGCTTCGCGTGTGACCAGCACTGCTCGGTGAGGTGCTGGGGCAGCTACGTACGCCTGAAGTTGGAAAGGTGTGTAATTATCAGCCACAAAACCAAAACGAAAGACCCTAACCCTCAAGTTTTGTGTTCATGTCACTTCTAACCAAGAGTAAAACCTTTAAAAAACTTCTCTTTAATGTTACACCTCTGTTTCTCAGAATGACCTGTCCCAATTGTAAGCTCTCTCCACAGCCCTGAGGAAGGTATTGTATTTGGAGCCATTGTACTGATGAAAGCCTTCTGGTAGCAATAAAGAAAGTTGTCCTGGACTCTGAGTCTTGTTTTGTACTTTTCACCTGGGTCCAGGCTCAGTTTTTCCTGGAGGCCATGAAGGAGCCGCTCCGGTGCCAGTCCTGCAAGACAGTGGCTTTAGGGGTGCTGGGGGAGTCACGCAGCAGCAGCTCATTGCCTCCGCAGCGGTTCCAGCTTTAGCACCAGCCCTGGCGCCCCTCGCTCCCTCCTCACTCACTGGGGCTGTTCCCCTTCCAGGCTGAGTACGGGCAAGTCGGTCCACGGCTGGGACACTGCTTCATCTCACCTATCTTGTAACCATCTGCCATGCGGTGTTCTGAAGGCCCCACTCAGGAGTGGAGTGGCCCATACCCAGGCTGGCTGCAGGCTGCTGCTTGCCTGATGTTCCTTCCGATTAAAGTCATGTTTGATAAAGAAAAAGTCAGGACAGACTTCAGTTCTGCTCTTTACTGTAAACTCATAGATTAGAGAATAGATTTTTTTTCCTGTCATCTCACCACGTTCCCAGCTGGCTTTTATTTTGTGCACTTCAGAGCCGGCCCCTCCTGCCTCATGTCTTCCCAGGTGCCATCCTTTGTGTTGCGCACAGTCCACTGTCACAAACAGCTCCTGGGTTTCAGCTCTCTCCCTGTCCATGTCCTGGAAGCCACCTCCTGAGGCCGTATTTCGCAAAGGGGTGTGCACCTTCCTTCCCTTCATCTTTATGATACAATCAGGCCCTGACCTTTTGTCTCTTCCCTCTGCTTAGTAGTCTCCAGCAAGGCTGCTGCACGGTCTTGGGGCTTCACGCACCACACCCCGAGCAAAATACCCCAGTGCTGCAGGATTTCCATGACACTACTGCTCACTACTTCAAACTCACTTCAAGACACATCTTTTCTGGTTAAATTACACAGTGTAACAGCTCTACATAAAAATAACCGCCTCGATTTCCAGCACTAGATATAACAACATTGGCAGGGGAAAGATGAGAGCCAGGTAATTTTCACACCCCTTGACAGCCAAGCCAGGCACCCGCGATTCCTGCACAAAAGGGAGTCTTTCTGTGCGCTTGTGCTCACTGCGTGTGAGCAGCAGTTAAAATGATCCCACTTATCCTGAAGGGAGCAGCTGTCAAGAGCTCCGGCTGCGCACACAAAGTCAGAGAGGTGAACCAGGGCTCTCGTTACTCTTACGATGATATTAACCTGCACGGTACAAAACCGTGGAGAGAGTTTTGTGGGATTAGAGCTTATTTCAGTTGGCTTCCAACGGTATGAGATGCACTGGGGGGAAGAAGATGGGGACCAAAGTGCCATGGCATTGTCATCCCATGGCAATCAATCTAAGCCTCACCGTCCATTGGCTTCTCCCCCTTGGCACACTCTTCCCCTCCCAGTTCAAGGGATGCGTTACCCTTCACCCGATACAGCAGCATCAGCGCACACGCACTCCTGAGGACTACAGCCCAAACCTATTTGCAGACGCGCACAAGGAGAGGGGTTGGCACAGGGCTGGGAAAAGGAAGGCGTCTGCTTGTGCCAGCTGGCAGGGGCCCGCCTGGAACAGAAGGGAGGAAAACTGGGCTTGAAGAGAGATTTAGGTGCTGTTGGCGCAGTTCTTTAACAGTTGTGCTGCGGCCACGGTTGCGAGTCGCTTTATGAGAAGGTAGGAGTTTTCCTTCTCACTGTTTTCTCCTCCGCAAATGCGACGGGACAAGAGCAGGTCCTGCACTGCCCCGACAGCAAGCACATGCCCAGCTCATGCCAGCCCTGCGAGAAGAGCTCTGCAGTGACTGAGCTAACTGCTGAGCTTGCCTCATCAGCCGCAGGTGGACCAGAGCCAAAGAGCCTCTTGTTGCTGCTTTGGGGAAAAGCAACAACTTTGTTCTTTGCAGTAGAGGGGCAGGGGCATAGCTCTCTAGCAAGAAGTAGCTTGTGAGAGTCACAAAGTTAACAAGTTATACGGTATCATCAGCTGCCTTCAGAACCACGCTCAGAAAACACAGCATTTCTCTGGCTCTCCCTGTATTAAGTGCAAAGCAGGGAAGGGTCACTGCCCAGAAACCTTCTCAGCCTCCCTGTGCTACACAAAGCTGAGCCCCAGCCCAGCACGCACCTGCAAGGCAAATAGCCAGAGAGACAGGACTCAAAACCTCCCTGGCAGTCGAGGGAGCTTTCGTGCTCCCGAGTCCCAAACACACAGACAACTCCCCCAGCCCCAGTTTTAGCAGAGAATGTTTTTATTTTGTTGGCGCTATACACAAATCCACATCGATTATCTTTTGCCTGAGTACAGGCAACTCCACCAACATAAAACACGGTTCTGACAGACAAAACCCATTTGGTAGACCTACCTCCACAGGGTCCTGCTGACAGGCTGCTGTCCTCACGTGAGCCCTAGGACACTTGTGGGCCAGCTCTCTGGCTGGGTTGCCCAGCAGCGTCCTGTTGCCTTTTGCCTTTCCGGATGCAAAAGGAAAAACCCCGTCTCTGCAGCCGCAAACACACCTCTTCAACTCGTCTCTTTTCTTCCCCTCTACCTCCGCTGTGAACTCACTAGTTTCCAACACACCCTTTCAACCCTCCACCACGTATGGAACACATCCACTGAGGAAACGCCCAGTTGTGCCCGTGGTACCTTGATACACCCAAGAGCCCGGTTGCGCCACTGAGGTGTACAGAGGATTAACTTTCAAAACCACGATGCCCCAAGTGCAGGTGCCCAGCTCTGCTGTGAGCCACAGGCAACAGACTTACCCAACTTACCCCTCCTGCCTGGTATCGACTTGGCTGTGGGAGAGTGCTGCTTTGGGGACTGGGCAGCCTGGGCCTTGAGGGCCAGGGCTGGCCCACAGCCATTCCACGGGGACCACAGCAACGTCAGACAGTCATCTTCAGCCTTGCAGCGCTCCTCCTGCTGCTGGTGCTGCAACCACCTGTGTCCCGGGCCAGCTGGGACCAGTAAGGAGCCCAGGGACCACAGGTCTGCATTGCTGGCTGCACTGGTGTACAGATTCACCGTGTTGTGCAGCTCAAAGTGTGACGCCCAAAGACTTGCCTTTGAAAATGAGGCACGTCCCAGCAAGATCAGGTCCCCCATATAGCAAGGTCCAGCTGATTTGGCAGTAACCTGCATTGCCAGACAGAAAAAAACATTTCCCACTTCCCTCATTGCCTCCCCATGCGATAGTGCACCCCATCTGTGGCCCTGACACATATTGTTGCCTCACTACTACAGCAGCAGGCTGACTCATACGCTGTTCCCACTGTCAAAACACAGGACGGTCCCGGAGCGCTGCCAGGGCTCCCCGTTACCCACAGGATAATATCCCCTGACACCCGTGATTCACGTAGCTTTCCCACAAGCTTCGCAGTGCTGCAGTGCTTTAAGCCACGGACCTGCCAAAGGTGCTGAGCACAGGGTCTGCCCGCTCTCGCGGGGCCCAGAGCAGCGAAGGCAGGAGGCCAGCAAAGAACACGTGTCAGGTGAATGGCTGGCTGGAAGGAAAACCAGTTTCAAACTGCAGGCTCCGCTCCCTGCTGCCTCACTCCCTCACGAGGACTGGGATAGAACCATCGCATCCATAAAACCATACACGTTGTTACACAACACAGTCTCCGAACGCCCAGGGATCACCCCAGTGGCACCGCAGCCACGTTCTAGCAGAGCACCGCTGCTTGTTTCCAGTGCCTTCTAGCAATAATCCCAGCTCACCTTTCCGTGCCCGGCAGCCCTTACCCTCTGCAACCCCCCATCTTCCCTTCACGCCCCACAACGTTTGGCTTAGCAGACGTGATAGCAGTAACCTCTCTGCAATTTTCCGCACAACACTGCCTCAGAGACACACCAACACACCTCCTTCACCCTGCTTAGCCCCGGGGACCACTCACAAAGTGTTTCTCTTACATCAGACCTGCAGGTACTGACCATGGTCATTCCTCAAATAGCTGGTAGGTCGATACCTCAGTCCCCTCTGGCAGCACCCTGTGACCCACGCACGGCAGCTGACAGCAGCACCCCCCACCGTGTGCCATGGGGCACCTCCAACCTGACAACTGTTCCTACCTCTGGGTTTTGGGAGGTTTTTTTTTAAAGTTCATTTTTACTCTCCAGCAGTGACAGGAGGGTTAAGCCCGCAAGCATGATTTTAAACTTGGCACCCACTCACTCTTGCGGATGAAGCAGCTTTCCCAGCTCCGCTGGGGACATTTGGTGACACTGAGTGACAAATAACCTCCCCGGGCTGCCCAATAACAGGTTTCACCCTGCTGTCACCTCCCTATGCTGACACCTCTTCCCCTAACAGCTGCACGCCATGGAGGAAGCGAGCCAGAAGGCACATGG